AAGTGTTGACCGGTTTATTCTTAAACCGCTCAAGTGTTGTCCGGATATCTCCTTAAACCGCCCAAGTGTTGATCGGTTTATTCTTAAACCACTCAAGTGTTGTTCGGTTTAGAGATAAATCGCTCAAGCCGTGTCCGGATTATCACGTTTTGTTCTGAGTCTTTGTCCGGACTTGATATCCGGACAGTGATGACCGGATCCCTTATCCGGCTAAAATTGATTAAAGTTACATTCCGCGAGAGAGATGAAATGGCGGTGTAACCGCGAGAGAGATGAAATGGCGGTGTAACCACGAGGGAGATAAAAAGATATGTGATAGATATTGATAAAATGTTTGTGATAAACAGGTTTGATTCTAAACTGCTAGTTAAGAAAGTATGTTGTTGGTATGAGTTATATACACTCACTAGACCTTTTGGGTCTAACGCTCAGTTGTTGGACTAACCGGTTTTGCACGTCATCATACCTCGCAGGATAAAGGAAAGGGAAAAGTTTAATGTTGATAACATTATTTTTTACTCATAAATGTATTAAAGAAAGTATTTGTTAGTCCGTGTTTGGTAACAATACTATTTTTAGTATTATGAGAATATGTATGTGAATTATCTGTATATGGAAATTGTGGGGTGTTACAGCATGTATTTTGAAAATTTTGGGTTGTGTATTTTGTAGTATAGCTTCTTGTACTTCGAACCTTTGTGGGATTAAGCATGTATTCTCTGAATGAATTATATGTTATATGCAATATGATAGTTGGGGTGTTACATCTGAAATAAAAGAATGTGTAAATAAGTTCAAATGAATTCACGAGTTATTCATAGCAAACCATACATCGAAAATGACAACGTACTTCATTTATCATCATTATCCTTTACACCAAACAAAATCGTTCTGGCTTCATGAAAAAAGGATTTTTATCACATGACATGTTTTGAGATGCTCTTCAATTCATCTCCTTAATTTTGAGAACAATGTTTATCACTGGAAAGGTATTGTTGGACGTAGCATATTTGATATTTGGTATTATTGTGATACACATTGCCAACCATAGTAGTGACGATAATCTTGACCACATGGAGTGTACTTAGAACGTTTTCCACGCATCTCTTTAAAGTCAGACTTGGGAAAAAACAAACTGGAACACTCCAACAACTAGAAAAAAGCAACTTACAGAACTTGGAATATAAAATATCAGAATATGAGTTTCAACCAAAAAAGTGAAATAGCGCGGTTAATTACATGAGTAACAAAAAGGTGGTTAATTAACAACCACCTAATCTAGTTTGTACAAGGACTAAATTATCACCAAGCGTCACTAAACGACCAAAAGTTGTAATCTCCAAGCGCACAGGGCGCCTGAAAAATGGCAATAACCACTACATGCCTCTATCAAGCATCGGTGCAAGTCTCCCTGTTATTTTCGTCACTAGAACTTGAAATACATATCGAAAAGAAAAAGTATTAGGCTTGCAAGCCTATTGAATTAAAACATTTATAACAATCAATAAAGATCGTACATATAAAAGAATGCAACATAACACTTCATTATTTCCTCAAAAGAACATGTGTTACATAAGTTTCACCTACAAGCACCAACGACATGAGGCTTGAGCGTTCATTTAGTTACATATACGGGGGAGACCCATTTATTGATAATGTCAGAACATAAAAGCAAACCACGAAATCAATGTTCTGGAATAGTATTTCAATACTTCTATCTTAGTGCCTATTGACCTCTGCTAGATTTTTAGTTCAATGTTTATTGTTTGCCCTAGTGCCTACCCCTTTAGCTTTCACCTCAAGGGTGAACAACCTTAGTGCTTACTTTTAGAGTTCCAATCACGAGGAACTCTGTTTTCTCACCTTTCTATCATCCATACACCCTTTCAACCATGGGTTAGTGTCGACAAGTTCATAATATCACCATGACATATAACTTACAAAGTAGTAAATATCATCATAAGGATTTAAACCTGACATAAAAGCAATTCATATATATATATGCCTCAATAAAATAGACAGCACCAATGATAAAGTCAAATCTCTACAATTACTTGATATAATTAGCTAAATATCACCATAAGATCAAAATCCATGATTTATAAACTAACCAAGTTATATAAAACAAGTGACCCACATTCTCTCCAAATATTCAACAAGATGGCATGTACAAAAGACCAAATAAGCCAACAATACTTGCATAAAAGTCCATAAATGAATTAGTAAAAGGAGGAAATTTTGACATGTATCTAGTTGTTACAATGTAACTCGACTCATCTTACTAGATTTAAGTTAAATATAGTATTTCAATGTCAAAACCTAATTTCCTTGAAGAAGGCTTGAAGCTTCATCCCAAGCCCTTCAAAGGCAACTCCAAAAATCAAGCCTTTAATGCTCCAAGAAACACTGAGAAGATGATCTCCAAGCTCCCAAAATTAGCTTAAATGAAGAGAGAGAGAGAGAGAGAGGGGGGGGGGATGGAGTAAAATGCTCACTATAGGTCAAGAAAATGACATTTAAGCATACCTATGTCGTGGACCAAGTTGTCCATGCCTACTGATATGTGCCCCTTAGTGTCTCACACGACCTTAGTCATAACTTAGGTCGCGGGTCAAGTCACAAACTCTCTGTCCTCAACTTCAAGCCCCTTTTTGACACTCTAGTGGGTTACGTGATTTTGGCCGCGACCCAAGTCTCCCTGAAAATCGTCATTTTTCCTACCCTTTTGGCTCCAAAAAATACCAAGGTGATTAAATATAATTAAACTCTGTAAAATCACATTGTTACATTCGAAAGGAGCTCAAATAACCCACAATTTCATTTGACGGAAAATGGGCGTTACACAAACCCACAACTTTCTCATGAAGTAAAATGCTTTTAGAAGATACGATACGTGAACACAGTTCCTGGTTTCGTATTTTCTAAACATACATGAACAATACACTTCAATATGAATTCAACATTTTCTTACACGCTTAATAAAGGTGATATGATGAACCTAATGACTAAAATACTACTTGATAACAACAAAATAGTCAAGATAAATTTGATGCTACAAAAGAAAATTGTAAATTATATAATCATGTGAATTATAACAATTTAAAACTAAACAGATTGCATAAAAATAAAATCTACTTGGTTTGGGTTTTTATTTTAAAGAATCTACTTTTAAATGCTTCATTAAAATATCTACAACAAGACATTTCAAACAAAAAAGGTTGATTTTTTTCATTTCCAAAGTTATAAAACGTATTTTTTTGTTCACAAAGTTTTATTTTGTATCCTTAATTACATCATATGACACTCACTTAATTTTATCAAATACATAATACATTTTTAAAAAAAATTAAAATTAAAAAAAAATACCAAGTCAAAGATAAAAAAGCATAATGTGGAAACTACAACTTGAAAAGTTAGTGGTAAAGTCAGAATCAAATGAATTCATAATACAACGAAAAGAAATTCTAAAATTCATTTTCTTTCAATAAATAATAAAAATAAGCGATTAACCAAAAGAGATCAAATATATTGTATCTAAAGACAAAATATGAAATATGATACATAATATACCCAAACAATTAATTAATTAACAAACACATAATAAGATGAAGATGAAGACAAAAACTCAAAAGAGATTTATGATAAAGACAGTTGATTGCAGATAACTCTAGTTTAAAGCTTTAGTAAAGTTTAGAACTCAAAAATTTTAATGAACCAAAAAAATTACAAAATTAAATTTTGATGGGGTTGATGTGGAAAAAATTGTGTTGACTGGGTGGAGTTTAGTGTGTTTTTTGGAGTCTTGAAATTGGATTTTACCCACACACACAACCCTTCAACATTGGCTGCTGTTGTGTGGCTCATCTCACAACACAAACCCCATCAAAAGAAAGCATAGAATGATTGATAATACCTATGCTTGCTTGCTTGCTTTTGTCTTCTTTTCATACACCCAGTGGCACACCTTTTCTTGATCCTTTGAGTTTCTGTTCTTGATTCAGTTGCAGAATTGAAGCATCTGAACCAAATTCATGTGATCTTTGTTTGAACCAGTTAAAAGGTAACTACAAATTCATCAATCTTTCTTTCTCTAGATGCAAATTTTGAAGAAACCCTTTTGATTTATCTTGAATATGATTCATCTTTTTCAAGAAAGATGCCAAATTGACCATTCATTCTCTCTCTAGATGCCAAAACTGGACCATATAAAGCGTACCCATTTGACTTCTCTTCCTTTTCTTCCGTTCCCATGGTTTTTTGCTCGTTAAGAAGACGTTATCTCGACCAATTTGTTTCCAATTGAGCCCTTTTTTCTTGGAAAGTACCAATTCGAACCCATTTGTGGCCAGTAATCAGAATTTGGGGGATTTTGGTGCTAGTGTATATTTGTCTAATTTCTTTGTGAATTGTATTGTATATGAGTGTGATTTTTTAGTTTGATGAACAATTCGTTTTGATAAAGTGATAGGATAGATTGATAGATCAGTTTGATTCTTATTAAAATGTTGTCTGATAATAATCCATGTGGTTCGAAGCTGCTTCTAGCTTTGCCTGATGATACCTTTGCAGTTGTGACCCAATCTTTAATGCCGAAAGATGTCTTTAATCTCTCGGTTTGTTGCCGGAGTCTTTATGCTCTTGCAAGTTCAGATAAGGTCTGGTTAACACAATGCGAATTGCTCGGGGTTATTCCTCATCGAGACCTTATCGAATGGCGCAAAGGGGTTAATTCATACAAATCCCTTTGCAGGTTCCTCTTTAATGTTCAACCAATTATAGGGATTTGGGTTCACCAAAATCCCGAACTTGGCAATGTAGTCTATGTCATGCCTGGTTTCATCTCTGTCGTTGGATGTCGAATCATCCCACAAGAACTCGGACCCTTAGGATTTGAAGAAGGCCCGATTTTGTGGTCACCTGTGTTTGAAATCATTGGTGATGTTGATGGATCATCAGCCTTTCTTCTTCATGGGAGGGAAAGGGAAAACAATTATATGTATCCAGGTTCCATTAAAGGCGTAGACCGAAACTGCAATGTGTTGTTGCTTGAGGTTGAACCCCGGCAACAAATAAACGGTGGCAAATTGGTCCACAGTAAGAGTTTTGTCGGCAGTCCGTTGGAAAAGGAGTTTTCTAGAAAGATTTGTCCATCGGATCGCGGGGTTTCTAAGTCTCTAAGGATTCATGGACAAAAATCATCTGTGCCATTTAGTCGATTGGCGTTTGGTGACAGAAGGAAGTTGATTGAAATCGTTACCAGCCAAATCCGCGTTAAAGTGCCACAGTTAGCAGATGGGTTATCTTTCCCTAGCTCAGAAACTGAGGATTTGAGTAAATTAGGCGAAAGGCGATCACAAGTTTTGCAAATGTATAAGCATGATAGCGATCCTGATGATTGGAAGGCCGATCATGGGTCGAGTACTGATCGTGATCCTACCCAATCTGATTTGGGGGAGATTAGGGAGTTTCTTGATAAAACAACTGGTTCTAGCCGTTCTCAACTTCATAGAGACGTTTACCGGATGCATTGTTCCAAAAAGAAATCACTCGTTGGGTATTTTAGGGATAGTTTCAAACATATAATTGGGAAATCGAGCTCCATTAATGGCAGCCATGAACATTCGAAAAGCTCTTCAAGTAGTGAAAACAATAAGCATGCACAGTTTCAGGAGTTCTTGCGATCTGGGGACACAATAGGATTAACGTTGCACGCTTCCACGGCCAGATTATCTTCTTATCGAGCGTGGCCAAATATGCACGATAGCCGCTTCGCTCTTTACAAGTTGCCCAATCAGGAGCCGACGGCTGGCCAAGAACACGCGGGATTATGGGGTGGAACTTTTGGTTGGCCTCCCGGAAAACCATCAGCGGATAAACCAGGAAAAGCACTATTCTTTCTTTTGCTTTCATATGAAGAATCTCAGGGCCAACGGCATCTAATTGGAACCAAAATCTTAGAAGGAACTCATTATGTACTGCACCCGAATGGATCGGCTATGTTTATAGTGAACACTGATGAACCATCAGCTGAGCCATTCCCGTGGGATTGTGATGGAGACTCGAATGTGGTTCATTTAAAAGAGGTGTTTTCTGGGGAAGGTATTGCTAACGGATATGGGTTCAGATATCCGGGTTCTAAGCCTGGTTCGCTCTTTGTGTTTGAAGACGGTATGCTTGTTTTCATGTGGAAGGAGTCTAGAGCTGTTTTGACCCTGCAGAGGGTTAACTTGCAACATCTTTTGAGAAAAGGGGAACGGGTACCTCCTCTTCCACCGATTGCCAACTTTTCGTATTTGACCAAGTCCTATTCGAACGTGTATGCTGGATTCTCAAATGGATCGAATCATGCATCTTCGCCGAGGTATGCATCTTTTCCCAATCATTATTGTCTTGTTATTTGGTTATATCTATTTGTATGTATCTTACTACATCTAAGATTTTACCCAGTCCATTTAGTTTGGTTTATTTTCTTTCTTATTTGTTTTTCTTCATATTCCTTGCCTGCTTACATAGATTATGAAATACATGCTTTAGATATGATTATATGGGATGTGTATTTGTTTGCTAGGTGAAGGATCGTGTGAGGAGGGGAGCTAAGGTGAAAAGTGTAAGAAGGGATCTGGACCCTTGATCACCTTTAATTTCAAACCCACCCATGAATCTCGCTTGATACGGGGATTGATCCGGTGCATCTCATCCTAATGTGCATCCAAGGGTGGAGATCTCTTCTTATGCTTCTTACTTTAACTCTCCTTCTCCCCAGAACCCAATCCTTCTTTGCTATTCCTTGCTCTTAGCTAGTTTGTTAGTAGTTTTTCATATAATCTCTTTCTCACACTTTTCACAAGTCTGGGGTCTTCATGAAAACAACCACTCTACTCTTCCGGGTAGAGGCCAAGTCTGCGTACATTTTACCCCTCCTGGACCCTACCCTCATATAGAAAATACCGGGCATGTTTGGTTTTGTTTATGAAGAGTGGAATGCTTATCGTTACTCAAATTTGTTAGTGGTCGATGGTAGAGTTGGAACTCCAAGGAAGGAATCATTCTAGTACAAGGAAAACAAAGTTTACGACAAAGAACAACAACTCTACTCTTTAGGGCAGGGAAGGTCTTTCTAATGTAGGTGCTAATTAAGCACATGGATCGATTCTAGGTACTTTAAGAGGATAGAATGGACTACCGAAAAATCCCGGTGCACCAAGTCTCCTTGGCTTTGCATTTTATAAAGAGGTTGTTTGCATGTCTCGGACCCATGACATCCTTTATCCAAACCCTACCCATCTATTAAGAAGGCGTCGTTAGTATGATGCTACCTAAGGGAGTTTTCTAACGTTAGTTTCTTTCTATTTATCTTATGGATAATTGTATTGGTTTAGGGGCTTTTTCGAGGAAGGGGCATGGGAGGACAGAGTTGAAGAAACGAGTAGAGTTGTAGCTACAAGCAATTCGGTGTCGGGAATTCGTATTGGAAGGGGATAGGAGTCGTGGATTCTTTTTCGTGTTATGATTATGTGCTAACACTTTTGTGTTCGTAAATCGCATATCTTACAATGTAATGTCCTTTGCCGCTTCGGTTCATTACTTGGTTTACTTGATAACTTTCGACACCAAACTCGACTTCTTTTCCCGGATCGACTGTACCTACCGCAACCCATTAACCTTAATGGGTAAGGCTCGGGTCCCGCCCCCCTGGGGGGTGCATATAATTAAATTAGAGTAGATTTTATAATTAACTCTTCTACTCTTTGAAGTAGAGGTCAGGTTTATATACTTACAGATACCACAACTAGTTGGGTAATATTGGGTTTGTTTGGTTTGGTGTAGGAAATGTTTTACATTATGATGATGACCCGTTGTATCCATTTTTGGCAGGTAGCATTGCTCCTAAGACCTGTGTTGCCAGTCAAGCTTCTTTTACATGGTCGGATTTAAGGTAATCTTGCATGTACGTGTTATAAGAAGCATATTTATGTCCATGTTAGCATTGAAACTATACGACATATTATATGTTCTGTTGATCCTAATAAACCCGAATCTTGTGATTCTTGCATTGTAGTATTGTTGTGTAATGTAAAAGAATCGCCCTCATGGTGGGTTAGTGGCCATTCCATGTTGTAAGTCCGATGTATTCATGTTTAAATGACGGGTTTTAAACCAAATTTGTCGTATGTCGGATTGTTTAGGCTTCACCCATGGCACATATTGGCATGTTTATCTCATTTTTAAACCATCAAGCGATAGTTTCAAGTTCCTTGATTCTTGCATTGTGGTATGGTTGTGTAACGTATGAAAATCAACATATGTGATGTTGGATTTAGCTCCCGAGCAATAAAGTTACAAACTTTAAACAAAACAACGATAGACGAAGGATCGTGTGAGAAGGAAAGTTGTGGTGAGAAGTATAAGAAGAGATATGAACCATTGATCACTTTCAATCTCATGCCCATCCATGAATTACGCTTTAGAAGGAAATTGTTCCGAATGCACCTCATTAATGTTTACATTCAATTAGGATTTATCCAAGGGTAAAAATCTCTTATTACGCTTCTCATAAACTTTCCATTCTCAGCGTAATCTTCACCAATGGATCGAATAAACAAGAATGACTAATAAATATATAGTGGGGAAAGATGGTGCACCTCCACAACCAAAAAGAGAGATTCATTAAGCAAATAGAAACCGGACACCAAGGGGATTACATAACAAAGTCACGTTGTGATTCCGAGACTCTTTTAACTCAAATCCGATCGAGGTTATTGCATGAAATGACAGCATTGCCAAATTTCCATATGGAGGATGTCCACAACATGCCATTTGTGGACATCCCCATCCTTCCAGTGTTTTTGTATCATGATTTTTCAGCACTTGATCTTGCTGATCTCGTATGCCCAAACTCCATCTTGAACAGAAAATCGTTGTGGGTGGAGAGTTGCGTCTACGGCTCTGTTAAGGAGGCCTTGTCTTCTACTGCTCTTCCAACGGTTTAGTAGAGTATAGTATATGCAGTGGTTCGTAACGAGTCGGGTTTAGATTCAACAATGTAGTTGCAAACTTTAAGCAAAAACAATGATAAAGATGTAACCCACAAACAAATATATAATGAACAACCAAGGAAAGCACAAGTAAATCGCCAGAAAGATGATTTACGTCCCCAAGGAGGATATTCATCAACCAAAGAGAAACTGAAAACCGACCCTGGTCACTTTTTGGTTTAACTCGATAAAAAAAGCTATCAAAGTAATCCTCACTCTCATTTTCGTTATAATTGGGATAAAACACAATGATATATAATATAACAAACCAAATCTAAAATCAGGACTACTACGAAACAAAAAATATATATGTTTTCAAAACCCTCGGTTCGTAGGGAAGGCCATTAGTAACGACATGCCATAATGTGAGATGGGATGGTGTGGTTTATTCGATAATTACAATCAATAGCAGCAGCATATATAGAATTCTTTACAATTAGCTTTTAATCACCTATTACATTTGTTTTCAAAAATATGCAGATAATAGTACCATCAGGGAAACATTGGCAACTGCAATGGCAACACACCCCATTGATGAAGGAACCCTTCACCAGTGCTCACTTCCAGGAACAGCAGCACCAGCACTGCCAGCATTGCCGCCCTACCATTCCATGTCTCCGCGCTCTTGGTCCAACCCCACTCCCAAACAGTAACTGGTGCTGGCAACTCCCTACGTTGAGAATCATAGGTCGCCAGCAGCTCTTCTACGCTCCCAAGTGGAACCAGAGACTGCACCAAACCACATCAACTCACTTGCCCTTTTCAGTTTTAACCAAATTAAACAAGATCCACTACAACAAAATGGATTTTTAGCCATCCTTCGGAGACCTAATAGAGTATTTAATTGGACTTCAGTTTATAAGACCAACAATTTTCAGTCCTATACAATAAGTTATTCGAACGAAGTTTTACAACCACATAAAGTTTGACAATCTAATAGGACACAGGAAATAAACCGTCTTTTTATAGCACACTTTTTAAACGTGTCCTATTAGCCTTTATTTATAAGATGCTTTTGTAAGTGTCCTATTATTTTATGAGGGGCATCCAGTAACCCAACCTTCTTTGAGGTCTAACCTCACCAAAGGTAGGGCTGGGGATGGTGCGTGAGTTCCATCTGCCATATATAAATATTATATACTTCCAAAAACAATGATTTATTTCTTATGTCTTTTCAGATTGTCCAACTCTGTCAATAGATTTCGTTAAACTTTGTCCTAAAAAGAACAACCCAGAAAACACAATATGCGCTCCTGCCACACCTTCGTAATGATGACTTTTAAACCCTCCATAACATCTTTAAAAGCAGCTTATTTCTTGTAAACTTAAGGTCCTATTAAGTACTCTATTAGGTCGCCTAAAGACGGCTAAGCGTCCTTAAAAAAACCCATTTTATTGTAGTGATATAAGGAGAAGCTCTTGTTTACCTGTCGAGCTTCAAGATTTGACACCGCCATTGCTCCTACGTATGGAAGACTTTCAATCACTGCATCTGCCAAATCTAGAATGAAGGTGGGTTCACATCCTAGTGCAGGAACACGACCCCATTTCTCTATACCAGATTTTAAAGCCAATTCCTTGTACTCAACGTCGATTTCCTCCAGTGTCTCGATATGTTCACTCACGAAGCTGCAATAAACTTACAAGTAAATTTCTAAACAATATAACTACAATCAAGTCTCTACTCTTTGGGGTAGAGAGGTCAGGTCTACGTACATCTTAACCACAGGCGGATGCACTCACTACTTTGGGGGGTCACTTGACACCCATAAAGTTTCAAATTTTTGTTTGTTTAATATTAAAATTTTGTTTATTATTGATATATACCTCTTTTGATCCCTGAAGGAAAATAAGGTTTGACCCTACATTACCACAAGAAAGTTTAATTCTTATATCTTTATATTATGTTAGTTAAATCCTCACACGTATCTCCAAAATTTCTGGATCCGCCATTGATCTTACCCCAAGACCCACCTCCAGTTAGGAATATTAGACTTGTTTGGTTTGGTTTGGTTTGGTTTTATAAAGCCTATGCTGTTAAAGCGGTCAAAACACAAAATCAGGGAGGACTGAGTCAGGACTGATATTTGAAATAGCGGTTATTGCGGTGGTAAAGGCGGTCCAAAAATAGCGGTTCATATAATAAATCTTAGGATTATATATACAATATATACATGCATGCATACATAAACATATTATATGCATTAATTAAAAATATAGTTTCAACATCAAAACATCAACTTAAACAAGTTTCATAAAACAAAATAGGAAAAGTGTTCATAAACGATGATAGAAAACTCGAATTGTGTCGAAGAAACTGTCGATGATTATAGAAAGAAATCGAAAACCTAAGATTATAAGAATTTTTAAATCGGATGCTTGATGATATTCGTTGACTGTTTATGGATCAATATAAAATAAGGGCCCAAATCAAAATAAAAGGCAAAGTCAAAATAAAAGGCGAAAAAAGGACAAAAATGTAAGCATTAGATTCAAAAGAGGCCCAACTGAGAATATCAGTATCATGGACTGCTATTTCACCGGTATATCATGGACCGCTATTTACCTCAAATATCGGTGAAATAGCAGTAAATTGTGCCGCTATATCGAAACCGCAATTTCCATCGCTATTTTGCTTACGACCGATAACCGCTATTGCGGCGCCATTAACATTATAGAATAGAACTACAATCAAATGGACGTGGGCCACATGTTCAAGTACCTAATGGGTACAGCAAGAAGACTTTTAACGCCTTTCTCCCCGAGTTCAATGATCGTCTCATCAGTGTAGGGTTTCAACCATTCTACAGGACCAACTCTACTCTGCACCAAAATAACCAAAACCACCATGAGAATCCACAATATTTGATTCGAGTAACCCTATGGCACGACTCTTTTAGGCCTTCTCATAATTCCATAGTTTGAATGAACAATGGTAGATTATACTTGATAAGGCCAAAATGTATCAAAATGCAACAAAGTTTGCCTTAGAGGCCGTTTACCAAACGTTTATCTGGGTAAGCGCTTACCGGAAAAATTCAACATTATCACTTACTTATCAGTAAGATTTTATTCCACCAAAATGGTATCAAATGCAACAATTTTCCCGATAAGCACTAACCGTGGTAAGAGTCATCGCTCTTACTTACCGGGCAAGACTCCCGGTACTTGCCTTTGCTCTTACCGGGTAAGATTCTTGATACTTACAATATTTATCTGCTAAGATAATGTTACTTGATAAGCGCTTACGCGGGTAAGCCTTTGGTAAACGGCCCCTTAGTTCCTATTTAGTGTAACGATAATTTTTTTTTTCTCAACAAGTGTAACAAACATTCAATTCTTCTTATTTGTGCTCATTTGAACCGTTAACCGGTAGATTCTGTAACTAACTACTGATTACGTGTATGTCAAGTTGTCAAATTATATTATAATTCTTGCTGAAATAGAAAAATGCTATATCAAACCATTGTTATGTAGACTGAAACCAGTTTATAAGGTAAAATGGGTACAAAATAAAAAGAATCGAGAAAAAAAAATCCATTGTTATAGTAGGTAGGAACTAAGACACTTCATGATATTTTGATTCATTTTACCCTTTCTTAGAATTCCATAGTACAGTAGATTAGAATCGATGAACTATGCATGTCTTATGAATCCTATAAAAGTCACCTGATAAGCGAGAGTATATGGATTATCAATCTTTCTTCTCTCTAATTCCTCCATTATCAAATCCACACATTCTTCCATCTCGGCCTTATATGGATCACCGGCTTCTTCAACATATGCAAGCGGCACCCCATGAGCGCTAAAGAAAATCATCACCTATATACAGCCATCATTTCCAATTAAAATCTTCACAATTTAAGAAAATGGATATACATTGTTTGTCCACAATTATATTTTTAGTTTGTGCCAAAATAAGTGCCTATTGGTCTACCTGCGATTGACTCTAGACGATTCATGGTTGCCTGGGGGATAGGCGGTGAGCGCAAGCCGGCTCGGATACCACGGTTACCCAAAAAAAGAAAAACTATATGTCCATTTTCAAAAGCTTCTACTTTTTAAATTCTACTCTTAATTATGGGATGGAGAAATCCATTACTCTTCCTGTTATCAAGGGTAAAATTGTCATTCAGTTAACTAAAAGGTGTAATAATTAAACATTTCTAAATTTATGGACATTTATTTTGGGACAGAGGAATATTACGATAACCAATGTCTTTTCGGAAATGTAGTACCTTCTCAGGACGGTCGAAGCTTTTCAGCTCTTTTTCAATTAAATTAGCCATGGCTTTTATATATCCTTCACGCTGGTACCAAGAAGGTATTACTGTGTGCTGCATGTTAACAAGATATTCGTCCTCCCTATGCATTTAAAAAGAAGAGGAAAACAATAAAGATGTTTGCAAACAACAAATGATGAGAAGGTAACACTAGTCGTGCATCACCTAAAGATACTTTCCAGGAGTCTAAGGCTCGAACCACTGGTTGATATTGAGAATTGAGGATAAAGAGGAAGCACGACCAGCTTGTTCACTCCATCTTTCTTTATCTGTCATTATGGAAGACGAATGAAGTCATTGAGAGCTCAAGAATTTACTATATCAAACCTTGGAAAATAAAGGAGCAAAAATAACAGCGAAATTGAATTAGAAGAACGAACTAATCAAGATTCTACAAATTCAAACCTTAGAAAGTAAAGGTGCAAAACAACAAGGAACTGAACCACGTCATATAGACAAAGAATGGAGATATGATAACACTAATAAAGTAGAATAGCGCACAACTACCTTAAACAAAATAAGATAGAACAATTTTGAAACAAATCACATCATCGACTAACAGTTGAAATGCATGCATTGAGTTAACATATACTGGCTTAGAAATCACACATACACTTGTAAGTTGTCATTCTGGGATCAAAATCTCTGCGATTACGTTATCACACTAGTAATTTTGATTAAAATCCTAATCTGATTTGGGTATGAATCTCGAAAACAGGGTTCGTAAACTCAATTATCTTGTAACAATTGGTTGGGTATAAATCCTAGGTCCATAGTAAAAAAAGAGGACATTGATTTAAACCCTAACCAAGGGAACAAACAAGACGAAACCTAATATATTTGAGCCCCCTGTTTGGAAAATATTGAAGCAATTCAAAAATGATTCACAAATCAATTGAAACAGATGGAATATGTTCGACTTAAAACAGATAAAATTCACCAGTTTGGGTGTCTGTTTGTCAAAGATAGGTTGCAGACGAAGATAAACACAATGTTTGAGCATAGTTCAAATTTGTCTTATTTGACATCTCAAATAGTATACTTCCACTTTCGTATTTTTTTTACAATGAAGCCACTCAAATAAAAGTCATGCAGTATTTGAAAAGGGCAGATGAAAGGAAACTAAACCAAACCAAACGAACACAGTATGTCCCATCCGAAGATTGGGATACCTGTCCTCTACCCCAAATAGTAGAGCGGTTGTTTCCGTGAAAAATGTGTGAAAGCGAGAGGCAAATATGAAAAAATATGTAAAAAACTAGTTAAAGAGTAAGCAATAACATACAAGAAGAAGCAACACATAGCGTCGAACGAACTAGGGACTCAACGAATGTTATACATTTATTTCAATTTCATGTGAGAGTTATTTCCTACTTTGAGTGCAATTACAGTACTATATTTTTTCCTCAATTCAGCAATAAAATAAACCAAGTGCAGTTAGCAAAAGAAAGATGACTCATTGTTCTGCTAATCATTGAATAGATACGAATGGACCATACCTGCTTGATCGCTTCTTCAGTGAATGGGTGCCAATAGCGCATACCCACATACACCTCTGCTGCCACATTCTTTTCATAAAGTGCTTTCCTCAACTCTGTAGCCTGAATCAACAAAGAATTTTGTAGTGTGTAAATAACTAAATGTGCCTCTCCTCACCCAATGCAAAATCGCTTCCGTAAACAAAATCACAAATGCAAGATACAGAAAATAACATCTGAATATTTTGTTTTAGTTATGAGATCTTTAAATTAGCTTTAGTCAGTAAACAACATTACTACTTGGAAACAGAGCATATGCGTGGAATAAAAGAACGATGAATATTCAAAGATGCAGCAGACATGATGATGGTGATGATGGTTTTGAATAATAAATCACGAGTATTAAACAATTAATCTATAAATTAATGAACTGACATTTAAAAAGACTGGAAATGGCTTAAGTTTAAAGAATTCCAGCAATTATCTTTAAAAAAGTGCATACAAATATAGAAATGAAGCATATGCTTATGACCGAATATCATGCCTGGGCATCAGTTATCTGGCGAAGAGGAGACCCGCCACCAATCGAAGCATACCCCTCCTTGCTCTTTGGTGCTCTAGCAACAGATATAAATTGTGCCAAAGGCTTTTGAAGAAAACGAAACAATCTTGGTAGTCGAATAATATCCTGTGTATTTGTAAGTTGTCAAAATCAACACATGCTATGACTTCCACAATTATAAGGTCTAAAAATCGGCATTCCATGTGAAAAGCTTTCAAAAAGATTTTTGGGAATCGTGGGTGTCCGGGCCAGCTTGCATACACCTCGACTAATTCCATGGGGTTGTGAAGATAACAGCCAGCAAAATACCCAGTGGCCCTAAGGAGATTCAAACTGGCGACCTGTGGGGAGAAGCCCCAAGGCCTAGCCTTTATTTGCAAGTTGAGCCGACCCTCACGGTTAAAAAAGCCTTCAACTTTGCATTTAAGGCAGGAAGAAAGTCATACACATAAGAAATAGGAATATACCGGGTCTGCAAAAAGATTGAATAAAAATGGTTGCACATCATCAAGAGTTTCCGGACCTCCAAGGTTGAGCAACAACACTCCTATCTTTCCGTCATTGACAATAGAAGGGGATGTGTCTTGTGTACTGGATGTCAATAATGCTCTCAGTGGCACTGAATCTTTGTTGAGCGGTTGCTTTAACAAAGATTGTTTTTTAGACCACCCAAAGGTACGTTTATGTTTAGAAATGGTGACCGATGAGTTGCTGACATCAGAAGAGCCTTCCGTTTGCAGCATAACATGGGAACCCACTTCAGAAGAGCAAATTACTCGTCGCAATATACTGTCAAAGATAAAAGCATCAATTCTAACAACTATGAACTATAGAGTTCTACGTCTTTTGCTAGTATTAAGTTTTATATACCAAATTCTCTGTTAGCTGCCTATCGTATGTACCATCAAAAGCATGCAGTGAATCATCATAACAATCTGTGTCTCGATAGATGTTGAAAATTAGAATCAGAGATTGTAAGAATTGTAACATTTTCTCATGTGAAAAGCGTGAAGTTAAAATTACTTAAAAATCGTTGATTCCAGTGCTGTAGGTTGACAAGATTCATCCTACTTTGTTATTGTTGAATAGTATCTTAGACATCTAATTAATCTTTAAATATCTTTATCATGAAACAGAAAGTCATATGTTGTTTAAAAAAGAACACAAAGTACTTTTCCTGCTTAATTGATCTAAAAAAAGAAGTATATTTTTGGCATCAAGTTTGTATCGTAAAGATGCAGGTTTGTTCCCTGTAGATAATTACTAATCCATCATCATAACACCAATACTCACAGCCATTGTGGCTCTATGTACAGAGAGCTCAAAGCAAGAAAGCCATAATAGGGCCTGTTTGGTTTGACGAAATGTTATCGAGAGATTTGGATTTCGTGGAAGGGTTTGGAATTTGGAATCTTGAGGGTTTGGAATTTTTATGTGTTTGGTTTGTAGGATCTAGAATGGAATTGAATTCCATTATTTATATATATTTTTATAAAAAACAATTTATAAATAATTATAAAAATAATTACTTTACCTTTTACCAAGGTTCAAAATGGCGTGAGGCGTCGCGTCGCGTGGCGACGAGGTAAAGCCTCAAGTCTACCCGCCATGCGAGGTTGCGACGTTCTTCAAGGCGTGGCATAAGGCGGCAAATTTGTATGCCATATATAAAATTATACATGTACATATATGTTTTTTATATATTATTCAACTAGATAATTATATTAAAAAAATTACATTCATATTAGAAGAATAGTCGTTGATTAAATATTCAAAATAGAACCTAGAATAACAATTTTACAACTTCATTTTAATTGCATGTACATGACATGCGATTAGATAAATCTATAGAAGCGTAAAATCTAAAGTTAAAGTGTAAATCACAAAAGGAAAAAAAAGAACTAAAATTTTATTTTTTTGAAAAAAACCATGCCTTGTAAAAAACGCAAGCCATGGCTTGAGATACGTCTTACAAAAACACTAGCATATAGGCGTTATCGTAACGGCGGAGACTTGTCTTACGCCATATGGACGCCATGGCACGCCTTTTTGAATACTTCCTTTTACCAATTGTAAAACAAATGTCATTTAACATATTTTAAAACATTTCTACAAACATATCCCATGAAATACCAACTGCCCTGTGGGATTTTCAAATCGAACGTTTGTGGAAGTTATGGAAATCCCAGGATTCATTTCTGGACTTTCCTTTTTACCGGAAGCGAGGTTGGAATGGAATTCAACTCCAAATCCGTCCAAATCCTACAAACCCAACCGACCTTAGTGTTCCAAACTAGCCAGCTAGATTTGTTTGGCAAGCACAAGTTTGTGCATTTTTATGGCTCGGAAAGCAAACAGGAGTGGAGAACTTTTTCATCGCTCCCAATATGCCAATATAATGTAACTCGGTGTTTAGTTTATTGGCTTTTTGACAGAATCATATCTTGAACAATGAGTTGCAGCCAAATTACAGCCCAAAACTCTTGAAACTTGATCAAATTTACCTACAAATATGGTCATTATTTTAAATGTATCTCCTAGGGAGTAGAAATATCAATAATCTATTGGGGAGGAAACGGATAAAGAGCAGAACCCAGATACAAAAACTTAAAATACAAAAGACTAAATGAAGCATAAGGAGAACAACAACACAACTGCACAGCAAAGTATGTAAACAAGAAATAGGTTGTTAAATGAGATAAAAAGGAAAACAATAAGCCAAACCCAGATGCAAGAATCCAAAAAGAAATTAAACACAATGACCCCTTTGACCAAATAAAGGAACACTTACAGAGGGGTTTTGTGATGCAATCTTGGAGAAAATGCAGAAGAAGGTGAAGGTGAAGGGGGGCATGGTGCTTGAATCCTGATGTTCATTGATTGATGATTCATCTCTGTATATAAAAAGCAAAAAAGTATATTTTGTGAAGTGGTTATTGGCAGCAGTCGGAGTAGGAGCGAGCGTTTGTTGGGTTGAGGATTAGGGTATGGAATTTTGTGAATTTTAGATTTCTCGGGGAAAAATTGAATGCAAGGAGAGAGGGTGAGCTGATAATTATGGAGTGACCACTCATGGTATCGGCCATTAAAATCCCAACACTTTACTTTCATTGACAGTACCTGTGCTTCCCAAATACTGCCACCTGTCCCGACTTATTATCCTGTTCCTTCTGCTTCTTATTTGATGGAAGTAAATTACAAATCTAGTCCCTATACTTTCATGAACATTACGGATCATATCTCTCAAAACCGAATACTTATTGTGGATTGTATTTTTATGATTATTTTTTATTTCATTAAAGAATCTATTAAGTGATAGGTCTTTTTTTATCTATTACTTACAAAATCATTGTCATATTCTGATATTTCATTTTGATGATTATAAACAACCTCAACATTTAATTTAACATCTTTACTTGATGTGCATATATGCATTTGATATATTTCGACCTTTAAGCATGAATGGTGATGTTGGTGGTGGTCGTACAAATACAACTTGTTCAATGTGTATATCCGTCTTGGGAATCATGTCTATATGAGAAATCAACGAAAGACGATGTCTTGAATTTTATGCAATGTTATGCTCAAGTAAGCCGACATCTTGGAACTCATGTTATATGTCTCGAAGTGTATGCGAAGCCGAACTTGAAGAATATTTCTCGATAAACGCTAGACACGTTCCTAATATTTTATTAAGCTCTGGACGAGATGTAAAAATGGGTCTTCGACAAGTACAAAAAATCTTTCAATATTATAGTTTTTATCATCAAAAATAAAATTGAATTCAAAAATACTAATAATTCATACAAAATCGTTTTCCAAGTATTCCTAGGCACAAAATCAATCAATAATTGCTTCTAAATTAGTATTATTTACAATATCATTTTATATAGCATCATAAATCCGTTCCACCATCAAACACATTCAATGATATACATTTAGTATATAGATTGACATCGTTTACGGTCACAGTGTTGACTATTCAAAGTAATACTTTATATAAATCAATTGGGCTTCTATGTGATATCATGTTAATGTTTTCATTACTATTTTAAACTTTTAGGTTTTAAACAAACTTTTTAGGAATCATAGATCTTATAATCAAAAGTCCATCTTGGTTGTACCTTAAGAACTTATTCTTGTTTTAGAGATCGGATATTACTCAAAATTCATGCATTCAATATTAGGTAAAGTCAATAATGTATCTCTAAACATAGAGATAAGTTGGATCGTGTCATATGGTTGATCATTTTTTTCTTCAAAAGATTGGAGTTTTCTTAGTTAATAACAATAATTCTACTATATTCTAATACAAAAATAGCATTCATGCGGATGAGATAATCAAAAGAATCAATAGGAGGTGAATAATAGAGAATATATCAATATTATGGATTTTAGTATTAGACAAAAAAAACTTAGAAAAACAAATAATCAATACTATAAAGTAGACAACCAATTAATTTTTTAAATATTTTTTTCCAATGTAATTCATTAATGTATGTTTGGATCTTTAATATAATGTTAAATTCTTTTTGGATCATATTAGATACCAAAAAAATGTCTTTCATTTATTTATTAATTTTTTTGAATTAGTAGTATATATGGGAAAAAAATCGGGCACCTATTTCTTGTGGGAATGAGTGTATGCCCGCCCGTCCTCCCCTAGGGACGACCTTGGGTAACACACCAATTACATATTCAAGATTATGTTCCGACAAATGAAATCCCGGGAAATATTGAGTGGTATTTATTAAATCTCTAACTAGGTTCGTTACTGATTAATTTTATAAAATTGTTTTTATATAACATGAGAGTAAAACAAATTCTTTTATATCTTGACAAATCAAATAAACTATTCAAGTATGTTTGTTAAATCTTTTTTCTCAATCATCTTAAAATGTCAAAGTACTTGAGTATAGTTCTCTTTCAAGCGAGACTTCTTCTTTTGTTTTTCATAAAAGCTTTTCAATTGACCAAAAATTGGAAGGAAGCCTTTTATCCATGGTCTAGAAAGAGTTTGTAATCTTCTACCAAAACTGGTTACGGATCTTCTTTCGGCTCCAACTGAAATGGAAAGTTTGATTCTTCATCATTCATGTCAGCTTCAAAGTCAAATAACAATTTTTCTGAATCACCAGCTCCACCTTCAGATTCAACATCGTAATCCTGAACTCCACCAACTTCATTTGCAAACACATCATTGTATCCAATATTTGCTGACAGACCCCGTAACATCCTTGTTTCTGTTGTGGAGACCTTCGACTTTTCAACCATCGGCTCGATTTCTGGTTCTGTAAAAACTGTCATTTCCATGCTTGTAATCCTTTCACCAGATTGATTAGGATTGATCTCACCCGGCTCATCCGACTCTTCACTGTCTATCATTTATACCCCTTGATTCCTCGAAGACTCAACCATTTTTTGTCTTTTCATCTCCCCCTCATGGTGATTAGGATCGTCCTAGTCATCATGTTCGTTTTAGAGAAGTGGCTTGAGCTTGGCATGTAGTTTCTAGAATTAAAACTCTTTCAGATAATAACTCAATAGAATTTTGAAGATTGGAAATAGATTGGGTTAAGGAAGCAGTTGTTGAACTAAGCTTTGACAAGCTCGACATAACAATGCTTTGAAAATTTTGGAACTCTAAGGCTTTAATGGCTTCAGAATTTTCCATTGACTGTCTGAGCATCCCCACCAAGTCTGCATCTCCCAAGTCCATATTTGGTTCCGATATCATCTTTGCGTATAACATGGACTTGAGATCATCCACTGAATAATTTGGTTTTGATTGCGGTTGAGGTTGAGGTCGTGGAGACGGAGCATGATTTGTTTCTTCTACCATAGAAGCCTTTTCAAACTATTGATTTCGTCCATCAAAGTATCTTGAACAGCCATTAAGGCGTCGTTCATAAACTCCCTTGACATAAAGTCGGGTAAGATAACACCTAGATCACATAGATTATCAGTTGAAACAACAGTTAAATAAATTGTTGTGTCTACATTCGATGTTGGAATAATGTTAGCACCGATAGGACTTTCAACCTGTCCTCGTAAAAAGTCAGATGACTCTACTCGGGTTGTTTCGGCTTGTTCACAAAGAACAATAGGTTGAGCAACAGATGCTCTCAACTCCTGTGTACCTACAGTGTATATTGGCTCTAGATATGGGAATGGGGCTTGACCCGTCGGGTAACCCGGTCCACCCACCCCGGTCGGGGACGGGGATTCCCCGGTAAACCAGGTCACGGGGATCCCCGCTTGTCTCAAGTCGAGGATGGGGCAGGGTATATCACTCCTCGTACCCATTTTATATATACATGAGAATTACTTATTTACTTTACTAAGTTTACCCTTTATAGAATTACTTTACTGAGTTTACCTTTACCCTTTTTCATCTCCCTCGACCCTCCGGCCTCCTACCTTACTCGCCTCCCTCTCTAGCTCTTCCTCAGTCCCTCCAGCCTCAATATGTTCGACTTCGACACTCAACAGTTCTGTAACTTCTGTCCTCCTCCCTCGGTCCCTTCGGCCTATGCTGCCTCCTGCCTGGAAGGTGCCACGCAACTCGCAAGCCCTGCTTTCAACAGTTCTGTAACTCCTGTTCACCTTCGAAATCGAAACTCGAAAGGTAAGTTATTGTCTTACTTACATTGTTCTTCTTGGTTCAGATTCATACTTCTAGTGTGCAAAGAAGCAGAAACATATAGGATGGCTTCATTCTTTCATTTCCACATGATATATATTATGATTTCTTGAAGTGGTTGTGGATTCAAGCAATAAAACATTTATTGCTATATCATTTGGGTTTAAATTCAAGATTGATTTCTTAACTTGGCATGAATCCCTCATTTGGGTTTATATTTGAAAACTGATCAAAGTTGTTTACTGTTTAGGACTATTACAGTATTACACACAGTTGACAATAACACAAATCACGAAAATAATAGATGGAAGAAGCAGAAACTTACTTAACAAACAAGATATGTCAACATTATACATGTTGGGAAAACATAATTGAAGGGTCCCAATCTTATTACAGACATGAAAAATGTGAAAACATGTACATTTTAAAGTATTTGACTAACCTAGCTTGATCTTAGATACTTCAAATGGTTATGCAAACAACATAAAGTTTCATCATCAATTTTTGAGGTTTCTTTCATGAACATCACTTGCAAACAACATATGGTATAAAAAAATCCCCGTTTTTCTGTTGGGGATCCCCGTTCCCCGTTGGGGACGGGGATGGGGATGTGATCATAATCCCCGACGGGGACGGGGACGGGAACACATATGGGGGATCCCCAACGGGATTGGGATCCCCGCCCCATTCCCATCCTTTAATGGCTCTAGACTCAATGTGAAAATGAAAAAAGTTGTAGACTGAGGCTGATGTTTACTGTTTTCAATATCTAGTTCCTCCTAATGAGGAACATATAGACTTTGTGCTTGATCCCCATGAGAAGATGAAACTAATACCTATTGAGAGGTATCAGAGTGGCTTGGAGGGGTGTGCAATTGCATAGCTGGGTGGGCTATATCTTCTTCAATGTTAACATTCAACGGATGAATGTCAATAGCAGATGTGGTTACCCGACGTCTCCTAAAGGTTAGGGTAGGAACAAATACTTCTTTTGTTGTTCCTATCACACACTCTCCATTGTTTTCTTCGTCACTTTCACTCATCCTCTCAGAATTTTCAACTATATCTCCCTCTTCCATCATTATCGACTCCAGAATGTTATCAATTTTGCCTTCATAGTCAAAATCTGGAATCCCTTCAGCAAAATAAAATTCCATAGATGGAATATTCTAGATTCTTGAAATCAACACCATCTTGATTTTGATCATCATTGTTGTTGTCATCATCGTCATCATTATCATCATCATTAGCTTACCCATGGTAAATGCTCGAGTTAATTTCACTATCTTCCGAACTTGAAGAAGTTGAGGAAATATTGTCTTCATTAATTTCCTGATCAGAGTCTCCCCCGGTCGAGTCCATCTCATTCATATTTTCCCTCTTCATACAACCTTGTATAGATACCCCTTGTAATTGAACACTCTCATCTAAATCTAAACCCTCACTTCGCTCAGCTGAGGCATGGGTTGATCTCGGGTTAAGTC